GGCTAAAATGATTCTGATTCCAGTGAAGGTGTATGGAATTTAAAAACACAGTGGGGCACTTCCTCTATTACCACATGACATCACAAGGTGGAACAGAGTGTTTTCTGTTTGAGAGGAGAACTTAGCCTGTGTTTGTGTGTTAAACATGTGTGAATGAGGCAGGTATAATTTTGATTAGAAAATAAATTTGTAACATAGATTATAAATAGCGTAATAATGTTTTTAAAGGTGCATTGTGTAACCTTTTTGGTGGGGGGTCCATCAAATGCTTTTCTTCATGGAGATGTTATTCCTTTGTCTGGAATGTTTCACATTATGGTATTAAAACTTTCTATCTTTATGGAGAAGATATCAGTGGAGTCAGATCTGTGCAGAGCCGACCCCACTCACAATCAGTCTGTATTTCCATGTATTTTTGAGATTTAGGCTACGTTTACACTAAAATGAATCACCGTATCACCGTATCAGAAATGATTTGCATCCAGACACGTTGTTTCTGTGTCCGCAATCAAAGCCTTCCCTATCCACACAGTAACGCAAAACCGCCTGAAACGCTAGACACATCACTAGGCTGCCGTCATGTCGTCACATCGTCACATCGTCACATGGGTGGTAAAAACAAGGATGTGCAGCACCGCGTTTGAAGTTGCAGCAGCTAATTTTGAGCCAAGGAAGATGGCAAGCATCTTTTCGTGGACCGACAACGACGTTCAGTCGTTACTGAACGTAACACTGGATTTTAAGACGAGCGTGGCGACTCGTGGTCCAATAAGGACGGCAAGTAGATCTCCTACATCAGCATATCAATGTTTTCAGGCATCCACACAGTGCCGGATAAGATCCATACTCAGATGAATTTGTGGGACCTAGCGGCACCAGATCATTTCTGAGCCATTTTCCATCGGATTAGTGTGAATGAACACTGCATCCACAACAAAAGTTACTTGAATACATACTAGTGTGGAAGGGGCCATAGAAACACCTGAAATTGAGTAAATGTAAGGTAGAGCTGTTTAATGTCATACAGTGGAACATTCCAGGTACAGCAATGACATCTCCATAGAAACAAGGAGGTGACGGACCCCCAATCGAAAAAATTATGTAGTGCCCTTTTAAACAAAAATAAATAAATAAAAAATATGTTGCTTTAACTTTCCATCTCCCTGCACTCCTCTAACCTCCCATGTAATTCCTGGCTCTCCTGCACATGTCCCTTTTCGGGTCAGGCCATTACGCCATGCTTTTGTGGACACTTAGCTGTATATCCTTTCAGGCGTCTCTCTGTGCTCGTGACATGCTTGTGTATGTGCACGTGCATGGGAGAGTCCAAAGGAGGAAGACTATAATAATGAGTGATGCCAGAGGTGCTTTTTGCCTCCCCCTTCTCTCTCCACTGGCTCGCTAATGGCCTCCTCAGTGGGTTGGCTGACCGACTTGCTAGGCTCTTGCGTGGCTGTGTATTCCTTATTTGGTCACGCGGGTGAAGAGCGGGTGAGGAGGGAGGGGATACGGGGTGCAGGTAAGAGTATTGTGCATGGCTCTGTTTACATGTTGGGTCACGGGGTCAGATACAGTGGAGTGCCACAGAGCTACCACAGAATCTACACACAGATAGCAGGAGAGAGCTGAGTTCTTCGGAGCCATCATTGGGGGATTTATCAGGGTAGATCCAGCGTGAAAGTGTGGGATGGACTTTAGTGCAGCCCCAGCAAAGAGATAGCCTCCACAGGTAATTTTCCAAGACACTCTCCCTTTAGCCCTTCTTGCACCAAGGCCCTGGACAGTGCAGGGGAGTCGGTAGAGAGGAAATTAAAGGCAACCATCCTTATAGTTTTGCTTTTGTCCGCTTGAGTGACTGCGCGCTGGCCTGCTCTCCTCGCCTTGCCTTTACTTGTGTTCCCTGGGCAATGTTTATGCTGTGCCCGGGTCCTGGATAGAATAGATTCGCCCACACAGCACTGTGCTCTCAACCAGAACTTAAATAGGTCTGGCAAGTCCGAGCAGCGGTCCCATTCACGCGCACTCCTCTGGATTAAGCCCTTTGGCCTGGGGCAGTGCAGCAATGACTACATTAATAGACCTAAGATAGCAACCCCCCATCACCACTGCTCCACCCGTACATACACACATCATACAGAGCTAGGCCTGTCACCATAACTCATTTTGAAGTATGATATATTACTACAAAAATATCCAGATAAACAATAATGTTGAAACTGTTTAATACTGCTGACACGATAACCTCAAAGCAAGATTATCCCAGTGAATGTTTTTAGTTTTACGTGAACGTTAAAATGTGGCAAAATTATTATTATTAGTTGGTAGTTAATGTTACATAGAGCAGGGGTTCACAACCTCCGGGCCAGGGACCAGTACCAGGCCGTGGGTTGTTTGGTACCGGGCCGTGAACCGCCCTCCTCCCATGCGCTGCGTTGACCGTCTGGAATGTCCCCCTCTCCCATACATCGCGAGGACCGTCCCCACTCCCGTACGTTGTGTGGGCTGTGCCACTAAACAAGAACTAAACCAGGTCTAAACCAGGACTAAATCAGGACTAAACCAGGTCTAAAACAGGATCTAAAATCAGGACTAAAATATGACTACAACAGGGCTAAAACAGGTCTAAAATAGGGTCTAAAAACAGGACTAAAACAGGACTAAACCAGGTCTAAACAGGACTAAACCAGGTGTAAAACAGGTCTAAAACCAGGACTAAAACAGGATTTAGCCAGGACTTAACCATTCTGCTGGACCCACCCCATCAACATCTAATACTACTTTACAACATGACTGATATTTACTATAATATTTTTATGTATAAAACTAAAGAACGATACAACATATGCATTGTTATGAACATGTCCATAAAACCCATCATTATCATCACCATTATAAACTTTGGCACTTTCATTTGTTTTACTAAAAATAAAACATAAAAATGTAATGAATTTCCTAAAGTTGATTGCGTTTTGAGCATCTGGCCATCACTGTTCTACCTGACTAATTTGATCTTTTTGTATCTTTACACTTCACGTGAGACCAGACCCAGGGAGGCAGCAATTTTCAGCCACACTGAATATAAGTATCACAATTAACATCTGCCGGGCCCTTCCCGTTCCAGCTTGTTGAGTCTGTGGAGGTTCAACAGGCTGCTGGGGCTGCTTGGGCTGGTGGGTGAGTGGAGGGGGGGCAGTGTAGAGGGGGGTCCACTTGTGCCACTTCTCCTCTGCTCCACCATTTCAGCAGGTCAGAGCAGCCTCATCACTCCGCCACAATATGACAAATCCAGCTGTTAGGAGCAGCCTGAGCCCCCGGCAGAGAGAGGGCTGAGAGAGGCATACACAGCTGCTCTCATGGCTGATCAGAACAGGCGAGGAGAGGGAGGGCTCGCTACTTACACTCATCAAGCATTACAATGTACCAGTGTTCACTGCATTCAAGGCCAAATCTGTTAGAGGATTACAATCATTTGATTATATTATATACAGCATGTTTATTTCAGTGAGGTTAGGGGTAAGGTTAGCGGCTGATTTTCAAATAAAAGGTGCACTGTGTATGTTTTCTGATGGACAGTCCGATACCTGCTTATCTCCATGGAGGTATTATTGTTTTGCCTTGATTATTCTACAGCGCAGAATCTGGGTAATCACAATAGAGACAAGTTCATGGTCAGATCTATGGAGAAGCAAGCCTGCACAAGCCTGAAAAGTAACCAAGTGAAATGAAGTGAAACCATATCTACAGCACAGAAACTGCATGGTAACAGACTTAATAAGGACATTTTGTAACACTGTTTACCTGATTTACAGTCTTTGTTCTGGGTAAGGACTAATACTATTTATATGAAATAAATCACTGTGTTATGAACTTCATTCTTCATATAAAGAAATATAAAGGCAATAGAATTAGGTGAAATATGAGATTTCTATAGCAGCGACCCAGCTGTGATAAAACAAGCTGAATACATACAGCCACAATTAAAACAGGGGTTGGTTTCAATTAAGAGCGGCTTTGAATATTTACAAGGATTTAGGTCTCTAGAGAGCTCAAAACGCAGCACAAAGCACCAAAATAAAGAATCACTTAGGCACATTCAAAGGACGAGCAGAGACCTTTTCATTTATCCACTGTGCATCGTGCGAAGAGGTAATGAAAAAGAGCGGGGCAGGAGTGCGTTACACCTATGAACGTTTGTACGGTTGTAAATCAACATATGAAACTACTAAAAAGTGTAAATGGCACTAAGATTATACAGATACAATTCTGACACAGTTATTTAAGTTTGGGGCAAATTCAAGCTCTACATGAAGCAGTGGGCACTACAGTACAGCGCTTACAGTCCTATCTCTACATCTTGAGCTCGGGCTGGCAGGATCAACAAGCTGGAGGTTTGCCTATTGCACATGTTTTGGGGTTTGGTTTTGAAAACAGCTTGCATTTGGCAGCAGTACAGGTATGATCTAATAAGTGTACCAAGCTGTGCCTTTTGGATATAAAGTATAAAGTTTATGACATATTAATTGGAAAAAAGCTTTCAAAATTAGAAACCGCTAAATCATTTTGGTATTAGAGTGGCCTAAATATTATATTGATTATGTTGACCAGAGTTTAAAAATACAATCTAACTATTTCATATTCCATTTTACGTATTTTAAAAGGCGATAACTTACTTGATTTAACCCAAAGTAAAATTATGACGATGGGTAAAATGAAAGTCTCGCCCTTTTATGGGAGTAATTTCTAGTACATGTAGGTGCACAGTAGATTGAGTAGATTGAGGGCTGCTCCGGGCAGTATAATGGGGGATCTGGTGCACTGTGAAAAATATTTTTAACACGCCAAGGAGCCATATTGTGTCTAAGAAAATTTGTAGGAGCCTGGAAGGTGTAAGAACAGGTATGCAGAAAAACAGTACTGAATATGCAAAGTTTGCTAAGTTACTCCAAGTTGGAGAGTCTTCTAAAATGGCGGCACACTGGGTATAACATTTCTGCACTTACCTCTGGGATGTTTTCAACACGACTTTAGCTTCATATCTTCTGCTGGTGCTGCGGATTCTCTTCTTCTTCTTCGCCTTGTTACTGGTTCGGTGGTACCTTTAAAAGATGGAAAAGGGTGCACAGGGAGGGAGAGAAGAAAGGAGAAAGAATAAAGGGAAAGATTAATGAAAAGGACTAGTGAATGAACTGCCTCCTCAAGTGGTGGGAGGGGGAATTGCTTTGGTTGGGGCTGTATGTGTGCCCTTTGTGACCACAGGACGGCAGGCAAAGTGCAGCCTCTCCACTGATTGCCTGAGAGCTCTAGAGTGCAAATCTGCATGAAAACCCTTCTGGCTTTTTTTCTTTTTTTGATCATTGGCTGCTACACATCTCTAATGAGACTGGGCCATATTAGTAGTATGGGTGTACTCGCCCAGTGCAGTGTGATGGTAAGTTGAACAGTAAGAACTTCATGTACAGTGAAGTCAAAGCAGTGTGGGGAGACATGTTTAACATACTGTGATTAAAGGTATACTCTGTAACTTTCTTGGTGAGAGATCCGCTACTTGTTTGTCTTCATTCAGCTGTCATTACTTTGCCTGGAATGTTCCACAGTAGTGCATTAAGCATATCTATCTCCATGGTAACAAGCAGGTGACACAATGAATCCAAGCTACTGGTAAATTTGTGAAGAGGTGACCCTGTCCTTACAATTCAATCTGTGTTTATTGAAACAACACTAACAAAGCAAAGCATTACAATCAGCATTTTATTTATTATAAAACAAGGTCACATTCATTCAGTCCTTAGTTTTCCCTGTTGTCTATCTCTAGTATTTATCCTGTCTCTAGTATCTGACCTATAACGTAGCCTATAGTTGTCTCCCTTGAGGTAGATAGTTTCATCTCTACCGTGGAACAAAGCAATAACATCTCCACGAAGAAAAGCAGGTGACAAACCCTCCACCAGAAACTTTGTGCAATGTTAGCCTGATTTATCAGCCAGTTTCACTTCGTGGAAACCATCTGACGTCACAGCATTAGGATTCGTTCGTTTGACCATAGGCGGGTACCTTTTTTTATTTAACCACTGTTATTTGGTCGTGACTTATGTAATTCACCGCTAATGGACCTAACTGGTATATTAAGCTTTTCCCAAATCCCATAGGAAGAAGGGGAATAATATCTTTCCCCTTGACATTCTCTTTGTTTCAGCTTTCTCGATCTCAGAAACCATTGTCAACACAGAATGTATGGCTTCGTCTACATCCATCTCGACCACTTTGTTTACTGTTGTGCTGTACCACACAGCTCTTCGCTGACTGGACAGTGCGTGGTCTACAACTTCCAGGGTTATTACAAACAGTCGCCGGAGAGAAATGAAATTGAGTGGAGGCGCCAATCCGGCTAGTGCAATGCACCTTTAAGAACAAAATACATTCACATACTACCAATCTAAGCAATAATACATGCTACTACTCCCTTTGAGGATGTGAGCTGTGTGTGTCTATTCTGCAGGGCATGTCTGGTTCTCAGTGGCCCCATTCGATACCAGTCAATACTGTTAGTGAGGTCTAGAGCTCAGGGCGACCCTGAGCCACCCAAAGGAGCTTCTTCTGGAAGGTTATCTGCAGTAAAGGTCAGAGAGGAGCGTCATTACTCTGCTCCCCCAACCTCCGCCAACATAATCATATGAATATCATTGATGATAAACACCACAGGGTATGATCGATCACATGTAGGTCTGGAGCATTATACTGTATGGGAAGAGGCCGAGTGTTGTGGGAGCATATGGTCAGGACAACATTTCAGTTCAAAGCAATGGGAAATGGTGGAATATATTCTAATTCAGTTCAGCAATGCAATATGGGAGATACCAGTTACATTTCAAGGGACAGAAAGTCTATTATGAGTCTTCATCCAAAGAGTATCAAGAAAATGTCATTATGCACAGTAATAATACAGTCCTGAATTTTCAACTGCAGTCAAAAATTTCTTAAAATAAAAGCAATCTGTAAGACTCACTCAATTTTAGATATTCATTTTAGAAAATACTGTGGTCAAATGGTGTGTAAATGTGTGTAAATCGTGTTCTTATAAGGATGTGTTATATTGACCAAAGCAGAAAGAAGCAAGAGGTATCTGAAGTTTGGGAGTGACTGGACTGGACTTGGAATGCCTATGAGACAGAAACACAGTTAACATCATTATATAAAAGAATTTGAAAAAGATTGTACTATTTTTCTCCCAATTTGGAAATATTTTAGGCTTTAAATTTTACTTCCAGGTTGGAGATCATGTCAAAATTAAATGTTAGCTATGACAAACATGACAATTGAATCGATTCTGATTTACCAAAAGCTGGCTCAACCATCACCAATCCATCCTACCGTTTTAAGACAATACAGCAGGAGAAGTATTTACCTGGTTGACTACTCGCTGCCAGCCATCTCCTACTGTATTGTCTTTAAAAAGAACTCTGTATTCTGTTTGGATGCTAGCCACTTCCCCACCTCCATCTTTTTATTATGAACACTGCTCCCAGACACTTTCCAGGCATTCTCCATGGGCACGATTACCTCAATAGCAAAAGTCAACACAATCCTTTATTCTGACAAGCCATTGGGGTCAGGGCAACCCACGGTAGCCAATCAGAGTCAACTAACGGAGCAGACCACAAGAGATCCCCTGGTACAAAAGCACCGCCACAGAGAGGCAAAGGGGCGTGGCCTGTAGACGACCGCTCCACCCACCTTGACTGCACGGCGCTCTGGGTTGTCAAGACGATGAGAATGGAGCACTGGAGGGACTCACGTGCAGAAGACTTCGCACTCGCCAGATTTCAGCCTAATTAGACACTGATGAGAGATGTATTGGACAGACGCCATCGAGATCATAGAAATACTAATGAGCTGTGATCTATTCATACACTATACTGTGGATATTGAACACAAGGCTAATATATGTTAGAGTTCATAAAATATACATTGAATTTTAATTAAGAAGAAACATCAGGATAAAAATTTTAGAAAAGTTGAATTATTTAAAGATGCAATGTGTTACTTTTCTACATAGGAGGTTGTCAGATGCCTTTTCCATGAAGTATACGGGGCTCGTGTACACTATTTTCTGATCTATGTTATAATGTTTCCTCATCACAAACCTGGAGTTGTGTTTTGCGTCAAACTGAAAACACTTTGTGATCTGATGTAGTAATATAGGAAGTGCTCCTCTGTGTTTTTAAATTAGAAACACATTCATTAGACTCATCTGGATACTTTGAGCTCAGGAATTGCCAATCTCTGTTGAATAAAAGGTAAAAGGCTGTCAACTTGAAAACTACCGCTTCATGAAATCACAAGGTGGAACAGAGCATTCTGAGCTTTGGAGATGCACATAGACCAGGGGTGGGCAAACTACGGCCCGGGGACCATTTGCGCCCCTTTAAACTTTTTAATCCGGCCTGCCGAACTTGAATAATAAAAAACAATGAAGTCATTACAATAAATAGTTAATACTGTGGGACTTGAAAGACAGATATTTTGTTGTAATGCGTTGTAAGAATTTTCAATTATGGGATATTTTAACCCTTGTAAGGTCTTCGGGTCTGTGGGACCCGTTTTCAGTTTTTAACTTCAGAAAAATTATACAAAGAATTATTTTTTCAGCCTGCGATTATTTGGCCTTGGCTCATTTAGAGTGAGGAACATGAATCAGAAAAAAAATTAATTGACCCCCCCTTGCTTCCACCCCCTTCACACTTATATTACATACAGGGTCTTCGGGTCCACTGGACCCAGAGCTACTGAAAGTATGAAAATCATAGCTCCTCCTTTCCCCTTTCTCCTCTTTGGGCCTGTGTGTCTGTGTGTCTGTGTTGTGTGTTGTGTATGTGTTGTGTGTGTGTGTGTTGTGTGTGTTGTCTGTGTTGTGTGTGTGTGTGTGTGTGTGTATGTGTGTGTGTGTGTGTGTTTTGTATGTTGTGTGTTGTGTGTTGTGTTTTGTATGTGTTGTGTGTGTGTTGTGTGTGTGTGTGTGTATGTGTGTGTGTGTGTGTGTGTGTGTGTGTGTGTGTGTGTGTGTGTGTGTGTGTGTGTGTGTGTGTGTGTGTGTGTGTGTGTTTGTGTGTGTGTTGTGTGTGTGTGTGTGTGTGTGTTGTGTGTGTGTTGTGTGTGTGTGTTGTGTGTTGTGTGTGCACCCAACACTATCTGCACCCACATCTCACCCTCTGTCTGAATGAATAAATGAATGAATCTAGGGGTCCCCATAAACATCTCTGTCAGTGGGAATCCCAGTCACAACTGATCATGATGGTGATGAACACCATGATGGTGATGTCAGACTGCGATGGAACTGATTCTTGAAGAGGGTTTTGCTGGTGCAGCTGAGGAAGATGTCTCTGAGAATGAAGATCAAATTTGAGAAAATTCAGGGTCAGAGAGTGAGTTTGAAGAGAAAGGGGACAGGAGGGTGAAGATCAGCCAACAGAGCCAGGAGCCGGAGCATCCATGAACAGCCGGCAAAACGCAAGCGGACCTTAGCCATAGGACCAGTCTGCCAGCAGCTGGTCCAAGGAACAACTTATGAGAGGCGAGCTGGTGAGCAGAGAGACATAGGAGGGGACAATGTGTGATTGAGAAAAAATGGAAAAATTCAATGGTGTTCCACTTCAAGACAGGGCCTTCACATGGCTGCCAACATGATACTGAAGGCACCAGGGCCTACACGCTCGGCAGTCACACTTGTAGATGACATCAGGTCTTCTTTTGACATTTTCATGCCACCCCAGATCAAGAACATGATCGTGGACTGCACCAATATAGAAGGAAGGAGTGAGGAACGGAGGAAGGTTTTTGATTAAACTAATTTAGATGCCTACTTTGAGATTTTTATCCTTGCCAGTGTTTTCCGTGTTTTTCTGTGTTTTCCTGCACAAGTGTAAGAAGTACATCTGCAATAGACACAGTGAAACTCTGCCCCTCATGTACGGTATCGTCTGTCTTGAAAATGTCTGTGTTCAGTGGAACTAATGTGTTGTTCAGAGAGATGTTGTGTAAACTCACCTCTGTAAGTTAAATTTCTGCTGAAACTCAAATGAATAGTTCACTATAGTGTTGT